AAAATTAGTATTTGTCCCAGAACTTACTTAGTGGAGAAAGATAAAATGCTCTCTATTTGTATCTGTGTACTCCTGTGGTGACTGCTAGAGATACTTTTTTTTTTTTTTTTTTTTTTACTGTTTCTGTGTTAATATGCTGTTATCCAATAATAAAATCAACTGAAAAAAAATTGTAAAGGTAACGTATCTATGCATTTACATAGAAAGGTATGCTTTTTGTCAGTTTATGCTGAACTTGATCTGCTATCTCAGGGTTATAGGACTTTCAAATCCATACATCATTTTAGGAATTACAGATTTAATTCTAGCTTGGCATGTGCGCCCTAAGTTATAGAGGGGCCCTTGTTTGTAAAGTGTGTCTGCTCATGTCACTGCTGAGATGTCACTTTGTCTGAGAGTCACTTTAAATGAAAGCTGAGATTATTGGGATGTGGCTGACTTGTGCAAAAATAAGTTCCAGTGCTGCAGGCCACAGTCTTGCATATGGCAGTAGTACTAAGTATGTCTGAACAGTTGAAGACCTGAATGCACGTGGACACCGCTCCTAAATGACAGAGTCCCCAAGCATTAGGAGCAGGTTGCTCTAACCTTGGTTTCACAAGCCAGCAGATAGGAACACCCCTCCACAGAACATGTGCCTTGCCCCAGCTTGTGATCCCCTCCTTTGGGTGGGTAAGTGCTCTGCAGGTGGCCACTTGTAGCATGATGATTTTGGCTGGATGCAAGGCAGTGACAGTGCAACGCTTGCACAAGACTGAAAAGTCTTTTTCAGTGAGCTGTTGAACAGGAAGTGTTTGAAAACACCCAGCCAGCCTGCCTCCACTGCGCTCAGCTGCAGTGCTTCTGGTCGGTCTCCGGTTGGTTCATCCTAGCTCCAGGTCAAAGAGTTAGCTAGGCTCAATGGCTTGATGCACTCTCAGCAACAAGAGGAAATTTTGTGTGTGGTGGGATGGTTGATGAGTTTTTGCTGCTGTGAGATCCTGTGTCCTTGCCACTGGAGTGTGCAGGTGTGGTGTGGTCTGGAGATGGCTCTTGAAGAGGAACCCAAGAAGCCTGCATGCCCCTGAGATGAAGCAACTTGCAGGATGTCTCGATTGGGTTCCCCAGCCAAGAGAATACTGTGTGCTTGCTGTCTCAGTGACAGGAATAGTTGCAGGGAGGTAGGGTTCCTCTGTGTTTTGGAAGGAACTTTTTATCTTTGAGGCTGTAGGAGTAGCCTAGCATTTAGTAGTGGTGGATGTTGGTGGCATGGACTGTAGTCTTGCATGGAGAGTAGGACTTCACAGGCCTCTGTTGCAAACAGTGATGAAGGAAAAGTGGGTCCCAGGGAATATTGTCTCCATGCCCCTAAATTATTCCATTTTTGGTGTGGGAAAAAAAATAAAATAAAAATCTGTAGAGTAAGGACTGGTTGATACTGAAGTTCACAGTGCCATTATTAGTGGCAAAGGAGTGTGTCATAGAAAGAACTGCCAGGATTTGGGGTCTTTGCTTGGGACAGGTAGCAGTGCTTAGGGCTAGATGAGGACAAAGCTTATCTGCTATAGGAGTTCTCTCACATAAAGATACGCCTTCAGCTGTGTGCCACCATGGAAGAGCGATGTGGGCAAATGCTGCTGGACACAAGTCAGCAACTGTCCTGCAGCATCATGGCTGCCATGCATGTCACCCATTTATCATAGCAGATTTCTAGTCACTCTATGTATAGCATCTCAGACCTAAAATCAGAAGGGACAGAGATTTGGCTGTCTACTTCTGAATGCATTTCATGTGTATGCCCCTGCTCATGAAGTATAACTGAAAACTAAATACTTGGATACTTTAGAAAAGTGTTAAATTTGTCTATTTACCAGAGGTTGTGCATTAAATCCTTACAGCTTGTCTTAAAAGCAAAGCCTAAATGAGATTATAGTGCATTTCATGAGCTGTTCATAAACATCCTTGATGGGTGCTTTCACCTTGTCAACCTTTAAGTTTATCTACCTTTTAAATAAGCAAGCTTCAAAGTAGTGGGATCTGCACATGTGTTTTTATAACCATTATACAACTTTTAATGATCAGGCCAAGATTGTGGAAAGGATGCCACTTTGTCCTGCACCCCTGAGTGAACAGATGTGACTGGTAGAGTTATGGAATATCCTGAGTTGGAAGGGACCCACAAGAATAATCAAGTCCAACTCCTGGGTTCCCAAAGGACCACCCAAAATCAGACCATGTGTCTGAGAGCATTGTCCAAATGCCTCTTGAACTTCAGCAGACAGTGTCATGACCACTGCCCTGGAGAGCCTGTTCCAGTGCCCGACCACCCTCCTGGTGCAGAACATTTTCCTGATACACAGCCTATAAAATCACGGACTACTTTGGTAGTTCATGTACATGCTGTAGAGAAGAAAGTGCAACTGCTTCTTGTGCCAGGCACAGCAGCTCCAGTGTTGTCAACACTGGGAAGCTGAAAAGGCCAAAAGTATTCAGCAGCTAACGTATGCATAATCTACAACATGCATTCATTCCGCTCATAACTTAACACTTGTTTTGGAAGCCTTTTTATTTGTTATTGGTGCTGGATTAATGTCTTTGTCATGGCAGAGGAAAACACTGCTCAACATGCATGTTGTTTTGTTTCTCTCTTGATCAAATTGATCTGCCTCAGATCTTAAAACTCTCATCCCTCCCACTTCACTGCACAAAAAAAAAAAATGTGGATAGCCCAGTTGCATCCCTTGGGCTCCTTGTCACAGCAAGCATTACAACCTATAACGATATTGTACCAGCCTGAATTCATGTGCTTTCATGTGACTCATTATTCATTGGCATAAACCAAAGGGAGTGTCTTCCACATCATGCGTTAGGAATTTCAGGTATAAAAAAAAAGTTGTTTTTTCAACTCTAGATTGTTTCTTTTTCTAGCTGATATGTTTTTGCTCTGACATAAACAGAAATTGGTTTCTGAGTTACAACACTGTGCAGCCTTCGGAAAGTTTTTTTGCTTCTGTAATGTAATGTGATGAAAGTAACGTTGTCAGGAGTGATTTTCAGAACAGAAGGGTGCCACGAGAGCTTCTGCAGGCTGCTGGGTGTGTGGGCCTTGCAGAGCTGGTTGATGGGTGCCATCCAAACAGACCTGTCTTGTGTTTGGGCTCACAGCAGCTGAAGGAAGATCACACTCCTGCATGTTGGACCTGGGCCACCAAGTCAGCAGACTGGACAAAGCAAAAAGAGTTTAGCTCAGTTCTGCACAGATGGGGTGTTGTCTTTGTCAGGAGTGACAAAAGCATGCCACCTATAATGTGTGTGATCCATACAACAACTTCCTTTTAGCAATGCACATTTCTCCTAGTAGAGAATACTGTCACTCCTGGGTGACACTGGGCCTGGTGGACCTCAGAGAACAGGTGTCCTTACCTAAAGTCCATTAGGCCTACCTGAGGCCCAGGTGGAAACTTTGTGGGGCTGCATCTGACCTAGGTAAAGCTGCTCATGTAAGTTCTGTTTTGTTTCAGCTCTTTACTTCCTTGACAAAAATAACTAAAACTGAGGTTTTCCTTCCTGTGTATTGCATTGCCTCGGTGCTATGACCAAGCTTGGATATGCTAAGAAAAGTATCAGATGTACTCTGCCTCATTTTATAAGATTATTCTTGGAGACAGTTTTTTAGTAAGGGGCTGTTCATGACAGGGGTGTCTCCTACATGGTTAGTACAAAAGGTACAAATCAGGTAAGTAAAATGATCTGGGAATGGAGCTGGCATGTGATCTGTGAGAGAATATTGAGGTTGGTAAAGAAACTGAGAGGCTGGGTAGGATGAATCTGCACTGACGTTCATAGAGTCCAGCAGAGCAAGAATTTGGAGGCACTCAGTAAAGTCCATAGGACATCAGTTTAAGACAGGAAAGAAAGTATTTCTTTATGCAGTGGAGCTTTCTGCTCCATGAGGCAGCAGGGGCTGGTGTTATTAGCAGTACCAGACGGGTACTAAACAAATTCGCAGAAGCTTAACATGGAATTGAAATGAAGTATAATTATACCTTCTGAAATTCCAAATCCACACAAGACCAACTCTGGGTGCTGGGAGAGCACAAAAAGTATGGATAGTAATTTGTCATCAGGGATGGGTGTACTGTCTTTAAATAGTATCTCGTGTTGCCACTGTTGAAAATAAGATAGTCTGGATGGACCATTTGACCTTCCTCATGATATGCTCATTATATCTGTGTCTGCTGGGTGCTATTTTGAAATCCTTCCCTTGTTGCTTGCTATGAGCAAGCCAGTGAGTGGCTTGTTTAGAACAGCTGATTTCTTTTCTGGATTCTTCAGGCCTGCTTGGGTTAATTCCGTCTGAAGGGAGGCCAAAATCCAACAGCTGGCAATAGAGTGCTGCTGTCATTGTTAACGAAGGTGACAAATCAATACTGGGGGAAATTCAGAAAATCACTGGGTGGCTATAAGGATCACGTGTCTTTGAAAGATTCTCATATACATCTGTTTTCCATGGCATCTGTATTGAAAGCAGCTCGGTAAAGCCCTGCTCCTGAGCAGTATGTAGGTGGTTTGGAAGGATGAAGCAGAATCTCAGACCAGGAGACCAGGAGGAGACCGTTTCCAAGTATGCAAAAGAAAACCCCTAAGACCTCAATGTTAGTGAAGGTTTTAAATTTTTTCTCTGCTTGCAGAAATAACAAGGAGGGCAGACCTCTTAATGCAAGCCTGCTTAGGTGAGGGAAAGACAGTATAGGACATACTGATGAAGGTGACCAATGGTTAATTCCAATCTAGCCTGAGACGTTGTGTTGGCTGGGAATTTGCTGTTCAAGAGCAACAAAGATTTGATTTGTTTGTCTTATTTGTTTGTTTATTTGTATTTGTGATGGGACAGAAACATGTGCCCTCGCTAGGATCACTCACTGTTTTCTCCAGATCGCTGACTCAGGTCCCAGATGCTCTGAGCCATCACTCTTCTTAACAGAGCTTAGCTCAGCTTTTGCCTAAAGCTCTGCTGTTAAGAGACCTTGTACAGGCCAGTGCTGTAAGTGGAGTGAGTGAAGAAGGCAGGCAGGTAAATTCATGCTGTCTGTAGCCATATCTTGTAATTAACTTGCCTGCTGAAAGGATTTACAAGGCTTCTTTTACCGCCATCTTACTGCAGATCCTCTGGGGAAAAAAAAAAAAAAAAAAAAAGGATACCATTGTGAGACGGCTTAATTTTTATTTTTATTTTTTTTGGTTGCCTGCTTAAATGCAGTCCAAAATCAACTGCCTATTATACTGTCCATAGGAACAATAATCACTGTTGATAGCATAGACTGAATCACAACAGACTGCTGCCTGAGAGAATCTGCAGGATTCTAGGGTGGCCTAGGCAAAGCAGCCCGTGTTAGTGATTTATTTTGCTAAGTTAGTGAGATTTAAGCAGGAACTGAAGTTGCACAGCTTTGCTTGTGATGTGGATAGCAACATTAAAAAGACATTATCTTTGGAAAGCATGTGAATGGGTTAATTGTTACATAATTAAGTGAAACTTAAAATTGTTCCCAGTCTACACTTACCTCAAAATAGACTGCTTTGTGTCTGACCTAAAAAGAAAAAAATAAAAAGAAGCTCACGCACTTGCATTCTTACCTGGTTTTTAGCTTTATCTAATCATAAAGAAGAACAACAACAACAAAAATGACTTCTTCTTCCTTACAAGCCTTGCCTCTCTATTTATTTGCCACCTGTACCGATAAACATATGGATAAAAAGAACCCAAACACAGTAGGGGTAGGATTGAAAAGAGACTATCAGTGATCTACGCAGTCATTCTCCCAGGGTAGATACCAACCACAGACCAACTCCCCACATACTTTCTCTTTTGCTGCTGCTGGCTCCAGCCCTTGCTTCATTTAAATTGCACCTGGCGTATTTGGTTGAGAATGTGAATTAAGTTGCAGATGTTCCAATTTCCTGTAGAGCCTCACAACTTTGGAAAGTGCTTGCCCCTCTGGCTGAGCAGGAGGGGGGATTTCTAGTGCCATTTTCCTGTTGCAGCTAAAGAAATTACCATCCATGTGTTTAGATGGATTTTGCATGTGTCTTGGCTCTTCTTTGCAAATGTTATCTGTGTCTTGTAGAATGAAACTAGGCGAGTTTTACTGCCAGGACGACCCACATGTGAGAGGGAAGTGTCAGGTAGCAGTTTTGTTGCACTGATCTATAGCAAAAATGGAGCACTACCAGTTCTGAATTGTTGCATCTTGTGGGTCAATTTGCTCTGTCAAATCCATCCATCCCAGGCCTACTGAATCTTCTTTGTGCTTGCTGGGCAGGATTACAGAGATGCTTTCTTTCCTGGGCCCATCCTCTGGCCTCTGAGTGAGTCCATCTGAGCACCTGGGAGCCAGTACCTTTGAATCCCACAGCTCTTAATCCAAATCTTAAATAGTAGCATCTTGGTGTCCTAGCCATACTCACTCATGAGTGGTTCAGGATATCTCTAGATCTGGAGCCTGTGTTCAGTGGTTGATGTGACCATGTAGCCTTATCAGTCCATGCATGCCATGAGAAAAAAGAAAAGTTGTACGCATCTCTACTTACCCTCAAGCTGTGCTGCTTGGGAAGCCAAGGCCTGTCTCCTTGAATCCCTCAAGCAAGCGTTTGTGCATCACCATTTCCCATAAGTGACTGTGGCACCTGGACAGAAAGAATTTCATGGTTGTTCTTCTGAGTTAAGTGCTGAGTTATCTTTCTTTTCCACTAAGTGTTGCCCCTCTGTCATTCTACAACTGCTCTTAGATTTAACTTCAATGTTTTTCTGGCTGAAAGCATTCTTGCTAACATTGGTGGGAGCCTGGATTTTCTGTGAAGTCTGTGATTCTGTGTCTGCAGCTCTGCTGTGGAGATGTCAGGACTGATGCATACTTAGGTATTTCTGGCTCAGGAATACCAGCATAGCTGTAGGTGACCCAATGAGATGCAACTCAAAGAGGAACAAGGTGCCTGTCCCTTGTGATTAGGACGTAGACTTGATGATTTGCCTAAAGAATCACCATTCTGGAAAAACCTGTAAAAGCTGGGGTGTCGTGATAGTTTGTAGAAACTGGGGATCATGTGTGTGTAAAGTTTCTGCTTTGGAACCTGAGGGCAGAAGAGAGTTTGAATATCTAATTCAAAACACTTGAAACAACTGCTCCATTGAGCAATAACTCTTCATATAGCTAGTTTGTGCTTGTTTTGCATTTGCCCTAGGGTCTGTAAATCACAATTCATAGGCAGGCATAGGGAGAGCATGTAAAAACACATGGGCAAAAAGTCAAAGAGTTGGGAAGGGAATATATAAGCTCTTCTATTTTTTTTTGGTGAGATGTCTGCACTGGAGAACACGCTTTGTTACAGCCGTCTGTTTTCTTCCTCTGTGTTTTAGCTGACCTCCAGTGTTGTCCTGTGCCTTGCCCACACAAGAGGCTTCTATTGAAGTGCAGCTCTTGTGGTGCGTGTTGCTGGGGAATCACATGCAGTACCTTTCTAAAAGTGGCCAATGTACTTGCCAGTAAAGCTTCAGAAATTCAGTTCTGTATGTTACAGCTCAAAATGGTATGAATTCCCTTCCTCTGTGAGTCTGCTGAGTGAGGCTGGATTTTTTTCATACTTTGATGGTTGTTTAATAAGCAGATTGTAAACTTTAATTGCATTTCATCCAAAAAACCCGCAACCATACACAAGAAAACAAAAACAACAACAAAATTATTTCAGTTATGTGAGGTAGTAAATTATTAGACTCTATCTTTTTCTCTTTTTCCTGTTTTTGGTATACCTTGGGCTGAATTTGCTTCCTAAATTATTTTATTAATCATAATTTAAGCTCAGAAGCAGTACTGCCTTAACTAAAGGTAAGTGTGTATCATAACAGAGGTGCTTCAGTCTGCACAACTTTGAAACCAATAGAAGTGTACCCAGAAGGGAGTTTGTTCTAGGTCAATTATGTTTCTTTAAGCCACAACAAAATGTAGACCTGAGGCCCTGTTTTGGCTTTCAGCACTGTCTTATTAATTTTATGACAACTCTTACCTCAACTGCATTTGCTTCGTGCTATTAGAAAGCTCTCCTCATGCATGCCTCTGATAGTGACTAGTATTTCTGAAGCAAATAGAGAGCTCTGAAGCTGCACACTTAAAAAACAAAAGCAAAAAACAATGACCAAACAAAAAATCCTTTCATGTAGTACCGAATGATGTTTTCCTAAGAAGTTATGGGGAGTATAAGACAACCCTACCTAGTCTGCCAGTGGGAAGGAAGAAGGCATCTCAGCCTCCTGGCCTCTGAAGTGTTGGACATAGGTGTTGGTTAAGAGCGTGACTTCATATAAACACAGAATGGTTGGCGTTGGAAGGGACCCTAAAGCCTATCCAGTTCCACCCCCCTGCCATGGGCAGGGACACCTCCCACCAGACCAGGTTGCTTAAAACCCCATCCAGCCTGGCCTTGAGCACCTCCAGGGATGGGGCATCCACAGCTTCTCTGGGCAACCTGTGCCAGGGCCTCACCATCCTCAGCATAAAGATTTTCTTCCTAATGTTTAACCTAAATCTATCATCTTTTAGTTTAAAGCCATTATTCCTTACTCAGTGGAGATGATGTTAACCTGATGCCTACCTAACCAACATTTGTACCAAATTTCCTCACCTTCCAGCTGGTCAGGTGCATGTGGCTCCCTCTGCACAAGCACTGGGAGCTGTGCAGCTGTGGTGTGCACTGAGTAAGCCCAGGGAGCTAGCCAACATCCAGCCCAGCAGAAGTGCTGAGGCAGGACACTGGAGGGCTATGGCCAGATGGATGCAAACCCCTTGTCGGGTTTTCTCAGCAGTGTCTCTCGAGCTTTCTTTGGCTGCAGTTACATAGGAAGTTGCGGATGGACAGGACATTAGGTTGCCTGATAAAGTAAGGGCTACACCCACGCTGAGGGCACCCTAATCTGCCTCTCTGTTTGCTTTGCAGTGGTGCGAGCCTTGTGCTGCAGCCACATACAGTAAACGTACACAGTGAAAGTAGGGAAGCACTCCTGTTGCTGCCCCAGTGACGTTAAACAAATTAAAGTAGGTGAATTAATTCAGCTCTGTCTACCCTTCAGTGCACTGCTGGTAGTGTCTGCTGTCCCTCTAAGTGCAGTCTGTCCTGAGACAGTGGTCGTCCCGAGAAGCTTATCAGAGAAAGAAATCGATGGCATTTTTTTCATTAGACATTCACTGAGACTCAGTGAATTTACCTATTGTGAACATAAAGCATCACCTTATCTCCTGACTGCAGTGGCAGAAACAGGAACAATGCTTTAGAATTTAATGCTTTGGAAGGAAGTAGTTAATATTTTGCTAAAAGCAGATTTCAGACTTTGATCCTGGCTGCAAACACAGCCAGATATGTGCTTTACTATTCTTTTTAACCATACCTCATTGTTCCAGAAATCTGATATTAATGTTATGCCTGTGATCTTGTGGTGGGCCACTTTGGCTGTGTTGGATGCCTGCTTTTATGTTATATTTTATTCTGTTTGTAGGTTTTTGCTGATATGGTCTTCTTGACACCTCTGTGTCCCTGCCATTCTTTCAGCAAGAGATTGTAAATTAAGAAAAGAAAAATATGTTGGAGCTTGGAGAGGACGAGTTGCAATGGAGGTCTTTCTGCATTCTTGGAAAATTAATGTCAAGATTGTATTAGAAATGTAGTGATTTGTAATTGTGTTCCCAGAAGGGGAGAGCTAAGCTGTGTCATCCCTTGTGATGGAGTGCTGTCACTTGTGAGAGACAACTGGCTTCTCTGTCAGCTGGTGTATCTTTGACTCAGCATGCACATTGTTCGCACTAATTCTTTTCTGGATTTTCTATTCCTTGGCTAATCTGCTTACCTCTTAAATACTTCCATGCACATACTGTCAGAGCCAAATCAAATATAATTGGAAAAATGTGACAGGTTTGTCAAGGACCTGTCAGAGTAAGTCAGACTGGGATCATAGAAGCAGGGTGTTCTTGATACACATGAGCTCCATCTTTGAGTCAAAAAAGCTAAATGCTGTTTGGACTGTAGAAAGCTTGAACTGGAGCCAAGAGGAAGCTTCTCAGCAGTACAGGCTGAGTTAAATTCTGTTGGTCTGAGGATAAGGGCTGCAAGCAGACTGCTTTGCAGTGGGCAGGAGAGGAGTAGCAGGAACCCTGCTAAGGACCCAGCAAGGCTGGCCTTGCAGAGCTAACTGGCAGCCAGGTAGCTGCAAAACTGCTGCCAGTTTTGCTTCTACCTCTTGTTTGGCTTCTGTTCTGCATCCACCCACCCAGGGCAGCAGCGTCTTCTCCGTGCACCTGCAGCCTGAGCTTCAGGCAGGCTCTGCCTCTCCATGCAGCTCCCCATGGATGGAGCTCACGGGCCCCTGCTGAGTCTGTTGCATGGGTGCTGAAAACAAAGCATGTGAATATCAGAGGTGTTACCACAGAGACCTGCAAGGGATGGGTGTTGCAGGTAGTTGTGCATCTTCCAGGCCTGGAGTCCGTGCCAGCTCTGGGCCCCCCGTGTCAGTATGCTGGTTCCACATGGTAGCCATCAGCCAAGTGGTTTATCATGGCACAGGGATGCTCAGGCTTGCCTTGGATGTCTCTATGGTGCTTATCTTCTACCCTCACTTCTGCTGTGGGGACACCAGAGCTTAGAAAGGATAACCAGTCCAGCACTGATGCAGCTGCATTGGTACAGATGTGGTAGCAGCTCTTCTGTAAGTGCCCTTTACTTAGCACCCTCTAATCCCATTTCTATAAGCCACAGGATTGTCTGAAACTTCATGTATGCCAGCAAATTGGAGGAATCTGTTGTGGTACAAAGGAAGCTAGAGAAGAAAGCTGAAAAGCTCAGGGTAGGGGGAAAAAAAAAAAAAAAAAAAAAAAAAAAAAGGTAGCTCTGGGTTATGTGAGAGCTGAGGCTTATTAAGAGAAATACAATGTGAGTGACTGCTGTGGTTAAATTTGTACTGAAGGTGAGACTTTAACACTTGAAAATATCCACTGCTTAATGCACTTAACTTCTAAAACTGCACATTTTTAACTGCCTTCTTCTCATTTGTTTCAGGTTGCATGTCTGGTTGGACTTGATGCATGACATTTGCATGACAGCTAACAACCTTGCTCTGGATGTGTCACTGAGCAGACATGGCCTACCCAGCAAATACTAACGGCAGTGCTGCAGGTAACTAATTGGGAATGCTTTTCCCACTTCGGATCATTACATTTTCTGGCTTGCCTTTTCCTTACATTGTGAAAGCAGCAGAAAGGGGAAGCAGCAGCAGTCAAAACTAAACACTGAAAAGTAATTTCCTGGTCAACCAGGGTCTGTCCATCCTACCCCTATGTCCCCATCCACCCAATAACCTATATTCTATAGGTTAAACATTTATATGTTTAATTAAACATTTAAAAAATTAAAACATTTATATGTTATGTTATATAAAAACATATGTTATATGTTTTTGTTAAAAACAAAAATTAAACATTTATATGTTTAAAATGTGGAAATTTGTTTGCAAATGTGCAAGGGATGGCATCTCAGTCTGTCAGCATGAAGCACCATCCACTTCCATGGACCTACACAGGCTTAAACCAGACTCGGAGAGGCCTGGGGGTGTACTGTAAGAGGTTGTCTGGTGGTTATCTAGTGCCCATAGCTGCTTTGTGAGATTAACCAGTTCTTTTGCATTGAATATGCAGCCCATCCTGATCACCCCTATGGGTTTGGCTAATTTTAATTTACTCTGTTGGTTCTAAGCAAGCAATGTCAAGAGGAGTTTTTCATTATTTCAAGAAGCTACTGAGATGTCTGTTTTGGTTGGGTGATACTCTGAAGCAGATTGCTTGTCATGTTCAAAGGTTGCTGAGAAGGCCTCGTAGGTCAGGAAAGGGCAGAGATTGCAGAATGACCGATAAAAGTGCGGTAGTGGTGTTCCTCTTGCAGTTGTGTCAATATTTTCCTGTTCTCCTGATCGCTACCCAAACATAACTTCAGCCCACTAAAGCCCAGGCATCTACAGGGGGATTATATGGAAAATTTCAAGTGCATGGCAGGAGCTTGTGTGTGCTCTTTTGAGACCTCTTAATGTAGGTATGGTGGGAAATGGATTTATCAATACAGGCTGGGGTGGCTGGGATCAATCTAAACATCCTGAAGAAGAACATTAAATACCTCTTTTGTTATGCGTATGTACAAAAACTTCAGCTTTTTTTATTGCTAAGGTTCATGTTCAAATTATATTCACTGGATCCTGACACGTAAATGTTAAAAATTGGCTTATCTGGAAGATTTTAGCACCGGCCTCATTAGCAAGTATGTTCTGTCATGGAAACTAATCCTAAATTATTGGATATGCTCACTATAGAATTTTTATAATTAGTGCAAGAGATTAAAGTATTTTGGGTGTGGGAAATTAGAAATATGGAGTCTCATTATCTGCAATTAAGCAAAACAAGGAATCTCTTTTTAAAGGCCAGTGGGAATTATACGAAAATATTGAAGTTACCATTTTCTATTGCTGATTCAAGACTGAATTTACCAATGCTACTAAGTCTTGAAAAAGGATGTTTTCTCCCTCCTCCATTACCATTCCATACTTTTATATAATTAGAGGTAACATTCTCTAAAAAAACTCTATTCTTTTGTAATCTTTTTGAGAAGGGAGACTTCAAAATGTCTGTTGTGTGACTCACCCATAGCTGCTTATTTCTTGTCCCCCTCTACTCCCCATATAATTTGCCTTTTTTTTTTAGTAGTATGCTTTAAACTTAAGTCATGCAGAACAATTTCCTCTGCTTAGAAGGAAGGAAAAGTTGTGCATGAACTGTTACTGATTGGTTTACTAATTTTTCCCCCTGCAGTAGGACTGTTTAATGGAAAAGTTTATATACGATATTTAAGTGTAAAAAAGCTAAATGTTTGTACAGGGGATGTGTTAATGCAAGATGAAGTTTTAGTTTCAGGATTGTTATGCAAACAAGACTTCTTGCAGGATAGAAGCTGTTTGTTCCCTTAATCGCAGAAAGACGCTATAATGAATTGCAAGTATTTAATTCAAAACGAAATTGGACAACATTTTGCAGAGGCTGTCAGGACTTGTTGGCTTTACAAACCCTTCAGGCCAGCGTTCTAACATGCAGCTATGTGTGCAGCTATGTACGCCTGCGTCTCCAAATCCTTAGCATTTCATAATGGACAAACTATTGGGCTGCAAATACGTGTGATTTGTTATCCTGCTGAGCTGTCTGGGAGAGAATGCCTTTGGATGAGCAGGAGCTGATTTGGGCGTTGGAGGTACTGAAGCAAGCTGCTTAATTGCATGGAGCTCTAAGAGTGGAAAGACAAACTTCTGGGGTGGTGTTTTCTTCACTGGCTGAATCAATCAGCAACAGGAAAAAGAACTAGAAAGACTTGTTACGGACTGCTAAGCTGCGTATGTTACTTGAATATTTTGGCAAGTTTGACCACATGTTCAGCCGCATTCGAGTATGAGGTGACTAAGGAGCAGTGGTTTGCTTTGGTTAACTCGAGAATGTGAGTACCTGCACTGTTAAATGATTATGCCTCTCTGACATTTCGGTAAATTTTTTTTCATTATACAAGCCTAAATGGACTGCTGCTGCTGCAGATAAAATCTAAAGAGGAATGCTTGAATTTGGAAATCGTTTGCAGGAAGGAATTAAACTATTTTGCATTTGTATAGAGAACTTTTTAAAGGATGTTTCTTGGAAGTACATTTGCTGTAAATATTTTCAGTGAGTATGCATGTGAGATAAGCTACAAAGCAAGTAATGACTTTATCATGAAAGCGGTGATCATAATTTTCACTGCCTCTTGCATATTTCAGCGAAGACATGTACTTTAAATGTGGCTAATAAATAACATAGACCGTGATTTAGACTTTATTGCTGTTTGTCAATAGTTTTGCTTTCTGCTGAATTACGAACTTAGTTTTATCACTCTGTTCCTGATTTCACTGCACAGACATCTTGTAGTGAACTGTATTTCTTTCAGCTGCAAGCATGTTTGTTTTGTGTCTTTGCATTTTGGAAAATGTAGATTTGGTTCTGGTGTTGGGAGTAGGCTCTCTCAACTTTTTTCTCTCTCCTTGGAAAATAGGTTAGGTCTCTCTAACACGGGTGATAGATTGGCACTTGAGGAAAAAAAGTTGCTTCATTTTATTGGTTATGTGCTGAGTATTCACACTGTTTGCTGCTTTGAGTCTGCCCCAGTGTCTCAGTCCAGTAAACTCAGGTTTAAGCACCGCTGTAGAAGTCCAGAGCCTGCCATGCACTCATACAGGGAGCTGCAGCAGGAGCTGGGAAATGTCTGTGAGGAGCTACTGGGAGGCTGGCCTTGTTTTGGTACATAATATTAAGTAATTTCTCTTTGCACAAGACAAAAAAAATAAAAATAAAAAAATAAAAAAGTGATTATTTTTCAAAATAACATTAGTGTCTTCATTAACTGCTGGGTGAAACTTCCAGTAATTGTTAGCTTCTGTGCTTGCTAGGACTAATGCATAAATCATCTATCTAATGAGGCTGTGCAAATGTTTTTGTAAGTGGTATCTGCAGAAAGCCCACCCAGTCAGCTATGAAAAGCACAGTGAACCACCTGTCTGGAACTTACCTGGCAGTTTGCAAATAATGTTGGCTGGATTTTAATATTTTTTCACTAATACTTGATTTGCTGAAACTTTGTTTTCAAAGGCACTGAATGGTGTGAAATTCCACTGCAATTCCATTAACTCTGCTGTAGAAAACAAGGAAGTGGCAAAACAAACATAGGAAACTGATTTACAAAGATAAAGATTAAAAACCTTATTTGTTTCTAACAGTAATGAAAACATCTGTTTTATTTGACTTCCCTAAGCACCTCATGCTCTGTATCCCGAGCTTGCAGAATTGTCAGTCATCTCTCTAACAAGAAAATAAAAAAAAATAAAATAAAATAAATTATGGAAGAAAAGCTTTTCCAGTTTTCTTCAGTAGGATGGACTGCAGGGGTCAGTATAACAAGGCTGTTGCACAAACCCTTTCTTCACTTTGCTGTAAAGCAGATGCATATTGTTTCCTGAACGTGGCATCTGAGGTCTTCTCTTCTTCATCCTTTCTCTTTTCTCCCTTTCCTCTCTGCCTTCCCTCTCACTCTGTTTTCAGGATTTGGGTTTGTTTTCATGCCTTTCTATCCCACTTTGTACATACTTTTGCTCATAAGAGCGTACTCCTCCTCACACAGGTTCATTTGAACTGTGTGTTTAACTTGCCTCTATTCTTTACCTCCTTCAGATTGGCACACGGTCCCCAAAGCTGTTGGCATCACAGCAGGTCACCATCACTGTCATTGTTCTCTTCACATCCATAAAGCAAGGAATTGCTGCTGTCTCCTTCTTCCCTGAAGCAGCCAGTGTGTGGGCACCAAGTGCCTGTGGACAGGAGCTTCGGAGGTAGAGTCCAGCCTCCTGGACAAGATGTGACCTCTAGCAGGCTCTGGTGGCCACAGCCAATACAGAGAGCAGCTGAGACTGTGGGGCTGCAGGGGATTTGGTGGTGGACATAAACCATTTTTGAGTGTTAGTCTCACTGCTGGAGCCCGTTGTCCCTCTGATTATTTCACATGTGCAAAGTTACTCTGCATATATGTATACTTGCTGAGAGTAAATGCTTTTATCATACTCATCCTCTGCATTAATTTGTAAGGTTCTTACCAAACCTTTCTAGACACATTTGTAGTTACAGATCTGTTTGAGTTAGAGTCTCTTCTATAATTTGATTTTTGATGCAAATAATCTTTGGCAACGTGCATGGATTTTTTGCATGTTCCCAGCCTCATGAGCTGAAGTGTACCCTAAAGAAGATAGTGCCACGCACCAGAACTTTACCTGTGCAACTAATTTTAGCTGAATATCCACTGGTTTTCATCGACTCTCAGTTAATAAATGGAAATTTACAGCAGTGAGCTACAGAAGTAGCAACTGGAATTGCTGATTGCTCAGCTAGCCTGACACAGCTTTTATTTGGCAATTTGGTTGGGTCAGGACTGCAGTGAGAGTCTGCTTAACCCAGAGCTTGCTGCCCTACCATGCTCCCTACTCCAGAGCTACATCTGTTCCCCATCAGAGCTAACAGGGACACGTGCACGTGGAAGGTGTGCTTTGGTAGCTGGTGGGACATGTGCCATTGAGAGAGCCTGCTGGATTGCCACGTAGCCTTGTGCTTTCTGCATGGGCAGATGGTGTGTGGGGCTGTTGCTGCTGCACTGCTCCTGCCTCGCCTAGTGAGTCACCCTGGTGGTGCCCAGTATTTAAAAACAAGCGAGGGTGGGACCTTGAAATCTGTGGGGTGAAGGGTGAGTGAGCCTCGAGTGATTTCACATCAGCTTTATATCATAAAGCGTATCAAAATTTCCATCGGTATGCTGCAGTACGCTTACTGATGCCAGATCTGCCTTAAGGACAGATGGCTGGAGATGCAGCACACGATCTCACAGCCAGTGCCAACTTTCTACTTGAATTAATAATTGTTTCTTCTGCAGCTGCTAGTTGATACCTGTAATCCAAGGTTGCAATGCTGCCACAACAGAATGGTTGAAAATAACACTGACTTGCATTTGCCCAACCTAGTGGCTTTTATCAGACCCTAGAGGAGCAGGGATCATATACCTTCTTTTCCATGGGACTTGTTGCTTGAAGAATGCCCTTCAGGCCTGATCTTGGAGTCTGACAGAAGGGACAAGAGCAGGAAGAACTCTGAAAGGATAGAGTAAAACAGTGTGGTTAGGAGCTGAGGGTGTAGCAGCCTTGCTAAGGTGCCCTCTGGATAGTCCAGTTCTTAGAAATGGCAATTGGATGGGGTGGCAAGCAGATGGCCCAAGACAGAAAGCCAAGTGAAGATGGTGATGCCTTGCAGAAGGACGAAGCATGATGAGAAACAGAAGAGATTTAATAGGTCTGTCTTGTGTGCAGAGATAACTGCAGTTCTTGTAGTCATGTCTGTCTTGTTCGGGATTATCTGCTGCAGCTTCCTAGGAGCTTCTGGCATCTCACCTAGACAGAAGACTTTTTTCATTCATCTCTGATGCAGGCTTGCTCATGGAGCAGTGCACACTTTCCTAGTGCCTGAGCTGCTGAGATGTACTTGCATCAGCTGTACGTGGACCTTCTCATGTGGCCTGCTTCTGCTGCCTGTGGAAATGAGTGCTCTCTGCACCCCTAGAGGCAAAAAGGGGTGCTGATCTTTCATTTTAAAGCCAGTGCTCAAGGGTCTAAACAGTCTGCCTTGCTGTTTGTAGTACCCTGTAATCTCACTGAGTTGGTGGAGTTAACAGTTGCCACCTGCTTCAGGTGACCCTGCTTGAGCAGGGGGGTTGGACTAGGTGACCTCCAGAGGTCCCTTCCAACTCCAGACATTCAGCAATAAAAGCCCTCAGGTCTTGTAATGAAGGTCACTACTTTGCACTGATCTAATGGCTGTCTGGTGGGAGGTGGGCATGCAGAGAAGCAGCCTGTGGGGCTTGGCTGAGGGCCAAGCACCAGTATTGGGGTAGGCTTGTGTCACAAGAAAAACGCAAGAACAAACTTTCTAGCTTTGAAAAATTATCCTCTCTCCATCCTCATCCTTCCCTCCCCTCAGTTCTCAAGGTACATAGAAGTGTACAACTCAGCAAATCACCCTACGGCCATTTTACCTACAAGAGTACATCTTGTCTTCAAAACTGTTTTGCGGTATTTCCCACTTCCATCCCAGATTCTCCTGCAGAATGCACTTTGGAAACAATGTGTATGAAACTTAAGAGTACCTGGTGTCCCTGGGGAAGGGAGGGGATTTTGTAGCCTTTAAAAGCGTACAGTCCTCCAGGGAAATGTCTTGGATGGGAATAGCTCGATTACAGCTGGTTGTCTTCTGTTGGTGAATGCCTGTGTTTAGACATGTTCCTTGCAGAAGAGTTTCTGCTGGAGGAAAAGTCCTTGGGAAGCTTTTCACAGAGGCTAGCTTGCTCCTCCCCCTTTTTGTGCCATTTGTTAGGCTTTGGGTTGGAAATGACAGAAAGGCAGCCCTTCCTGTATCATGTTTTCACAGCAGGCCTAGGGGCTGAGGGAGTGCTCATGCTGCCCACGTTGGCATCCTGCTCCATCTCCATTTCCTTCCTCTGGAAACACGATTCCCCTTGTTGGCAGCATGCAGATTCCTGCCAGGGTGTCCCCAGGTGACCAGCTCTGAGCTGACACAACGAAGTGTGCCCTCCTCCCCTTTCTTCCTTCAGTTCCCTCTGATTTCATCCGGAAATTGCACTTACCATATTGATTGAATCCAGTGGTTGACTTCCACTGTCAGATGCACCTTGCAGCACATGAGGTTTCGCAGATCCACCATGCACAAACAGGGCTCTCCACCTCCCATGTCTCTATCTTTTTAAAAATTCTTCATGGCATATGCTGAGGTTTTTTCTTCACCTGATTCTTCACACAGACATTGAAAACAGAACCAAGTGCTCAGATGTGCAGAGGAAGCTGTGTGTGATCCCATTGTCCTCCTTTATCCTCTCAGTACATCCTTCTCCACTCACCTCCTTCCCTACTTCCTTGTAGAAGCTGTAATGTGACCCTTGCCCCCTCACAGCCCTTCCCTTTTCTTGCTTGACTTCTCCTCCCTAGTTATCTCATATTGTAATACATGTTTTATGTAATTAAGTCTTCTGGATTTTCATTTATGCATTCCTAGATATTTTTTTCTACATGACAATATTTTCACTTTCCTTCAACATATGGGTCCTGTCTGTGATGCTCCCTTATTGCCCTTCAGTACTTATTTGAAAGGACTGCTCTGGAGGACAAGAGAGAGGGAGGGTGTGGATACTGTTTCTAATAGCTTGGTTTGAAGGTTTGGTCAGATTAGGGTGAGGATCAAATTAACTGATAATTGGGAACAGATTGTTCTCCCTATGTAAACCAGACATTGCTGGTCTAGAGCAGTCATTTTTTGCTGAGGGGCATGTTTGTTGATGTACTCCTAGCCCCTTTCCTGCCATCTCTACACAAAACCAACCCCTCTGCCTGGAGCAGCACTGTATGTGTTGCAGAAGATTTAATAATAAAAGCAAAGTGCGCTTGTGCAACTTCACTGCTGTCACTGGAATTTCAGGTCTAATCCTAGCAAACAGGCCAAATTTTAAGGTCTCATGTATGCTACTTGACAAATCGAAAATGTGCAGCTTAAAAAAAAAAAAAGCAGTACAAGTACAATAACATGCATGGTTGTGGTTAGAAAAGTAGACTGACATTTGCATGTGATAAAAGCCCAAAGGCTAGATCAGAGAAGTCATTTTAAGGGATTATGAGGATTTTTAAATATTATTCTTTTTACTTCAAGAAGTCCTTGGTTAAACCTTTTCTCCCTTTCCTTTCCATTCTTCCCAAAGAAGAAATTGTGATTCTTAACTTTAGATGGGTATGTTTTTCTGTTTAAAGTGTAAATTAGAATCATTCATTTCTGCTCCTGTCTTCTGTTTCGCTTCATGGAGATAGATGGCTGTTACACAGGTTTTAAGCTTACCAATACTTGATTGTGCTCATGAGGCTGTGCATCCACTGCATCGCCCTTTAGATTTTCCCCATTCTCTCTTGCCATCATTAGTTACAGTCCTTTTCACTTCCTTTGCTCTCAGACAAGGGTGTCTGCCATCTAGGATGCTCCTCCTTTCCTTTCTGATCCCTGACTACCACCACCCCCCACAGGTATGGACTGCCCTTAAAGATCAGAGCCTTCACTCTCAACCTGCCTTGAGTGCTGTGGAAAACACAGTTAACAATTCTGGGAAAATTATTCTCCCTTTGCAAAGTTGTAAAGATACCAAGACTCAAGTGGCAAGTGCGTGGCTCAGCCAGACCGCCTCAGATCCCTGTAGAGCAGGACACCAGGAGCAGTGGAGCCCACTGTTCATCAGTTTACACGGTATGTTAATAGCAGACGTGTAGTCTTGTCCATAGGTCCTCATTATTTACGTTGTGTCACATGCTTTTTATCCTCCACATTTTGTGTGGCTCTTTTCCCTGCCCCAGCCTTTTGTATAGTCAGTATGTTATTGTGGGTGGAAGTGCAGTATTTCTGGATTAACAATTGTTACTGTAAACCCATGGTGTTTTATTGTGGAATATTGATCCAAGAGGGAAGGAAGCAAAGAGATCCCCAAAACCAGCTTGTGTCATCTCTCTGGCAAAGCTGTGAATTCCTTCCCCCACTCCTGCCTCTGCTCAGCCGAGGAAGCTGGGGGTGACACTGTAGGACTGGGACACTTTCCGTGCTGACAGAATTGGACACCTGACCCAGAATGACTCAGTCTGCTGTTTTCACAATGCACCTGGAGACAATAGCTAGGCTGACACCTGCATTTGAGTTCCCAACAGGCAGAGGTTCACTTTGCATCTTTGGGGCATGAGAGGCCCATACACGTATTTCAGGATTTGAGAATGCATTTCTTTCTTTTATATCCATTAATTTTTATTTTCTCTTGTGTTCATGTTCAATGTGTCATTCACTTTCATCTCTGCAAAATGGGAAAGCAAAACTGATGTGTACAGCCCTGCTGGGATTTGCAAGCCAAGTTGCTAGCTCACTCAGTTCTAACCTGAATAACAACAAGAAAGTATGCGTAATCACATCTGTCTCAAAGAAAAAAAAAAAAAAAAGATTTCTTTCGCATAAACTTTTCCAGTCAGTCATATTAGGACATGACTAGAGGTCACTGGACTTGCATTGTGATCTGTGAAAAACCAAGTCGCTGAAATTCTTTCTTAGTTATGTTAAACCAGGTGGACATTTAATGATTACGTGAAGTAAATGTTTCAGTTGCATCCTCTCTCTGGTTAGATGCTAACTACTGAGGGAACTTTGTAGCTTCCATAGCCTTTCATTGTTTTGAGCAATGAGTAGTCACTAGGTCAGATTAATCATCCATAGCTTTATCTCCATGCACTTGACCAGGAGATCTCCTTGTAATACTGATACATCAACTGCAGTCTGGCATTTTGAATCCAGTTATTGAATACCTCTAGCCATCTTGCAAAAACACATTTGATGCTGGAAGCAGGTCCCATTTTAGCCCCCACAACTCAGGAAGTCTCCAAGGTGTGGGTTTCTGTAAACCGAGACAATAAATATTTCTGTATGTTTGTTTTATTCATATGTCCTTCCAGTTGCATCTGCAAGGGAGGAGAAGGTGAGTAGGACAGATGGGTCTTGGGTCTGACCTCTGGCCATAGCCAATTAGCTTTGAACTGTTCAACAGAGACTAGCTGAGAAAGTCTGCCAAAACCAACCAACCAACCAAAACCAACCAAACAAAAACCAACAACAACAATTAAACAAATAGAAACAAACAAAAATATATATCCCTCCACAAAATGCAAAAGCTGTGGTTTTGGGGTATGAACATAAACCAGGCTGTATGGGGCCACGCTAGGTAAGCTCTGGGCACCATCTCTGCCCTTAGCCCTGGCCATTGTGTTGGGGCAGGTTACTTCATTCCTTCCATGCAGAGCTACTTCGGTGCTGAGGAAGTGGCCTCTTGGAGGCAAGTGTTTCAAGGACTCCATTTCTTCCATGTCCTTTGTCTTTCCCAGATCCATTATGCCTTCTCTGCCTTTTGTTTTCAAACAGGGTGTGAAATAACCTGCTTTTTAGATAAGAATTTACCAGCTGGATGGCTGCCCGTACACCAAATCTTGCATTTGTTCTGCTGCAGACCACGTCAGGTTTTTTGGTCACTGGGGAGCTGACCTCAGTTTTGTTTCTACTGTAAACAGTAGCTGAATGAGTTTATTTGGCACCATAATGGTCTCAAAGGCCAAGAGAATAAATATGCGTGTGCTCTTTTGCCTTCAGGCTTATTGGGGCCAACCCAGACATGTGCCTCCATGTTTGACTTGCTGGACTAGGGACAAAATGCTGATACACATTCTGGGTTCTTGCTTGCATTTATGGCAGGTATTTCTCAGCCTGAGCTTAGAGGAGAGTCCTCTGATGGTGCGCGACTTGATGCAGGGCTCTTTCAGATGTCAAGCCCTTGAAACCACGAAGTAACAATAAACACATGGTGCACGTGGAGAGATAGCTGCTAAAATTTTTTCTTCCCAAACAAGGCATCTCTTTTTTCACTCTCTCTTTCTCTCTGTCCTTCTTTCTTTTCTTTCTTTCCTTTCTTTTTTCTTTTTTTTTTTTTTCCTCTGCTCTGCTCTGCTCTGCTCTCCTCTCCTCAAGAAAAATGAAATCATGAAATGTTTTTATTTTTTCTTCTACCCTGTTTCAGCAACACCCTAAGAGAAACATTTTAGCTGTACATTGTATTCTCATAGTTTTATCCTGGATGTCATGTTTATTTCCCAGCAGAAAACTAGATATGCATTTTCCTGTTCTTCCCGTGCCAGTGTGAAGAACCTACTGATCAAACTAAGGAGGCTGGCAGTAACGCTGAGATCTGCTGTGCACCACTGTTACTTGCTGTGAGGTGCTTTTGTTTCTCTCAACAGAAATCATGGGTTGAGTTTCAGCTACCCTAGAATTCTTCTGTTCTGTACAAGAAATTTCAAAGCATGGCTGGAAAATGTTCCCAAGGAATTGTTTATGCAGAGCTGTTTTTTCTGTGGATGGGGTAGTTAGAGCAGCAATTAAATCAAACCAAGTTCACTTAAAATTCAGCACCTCTTTGATCCATAGGTGTAACAAGATGGCCAAATCTAGAGCCCCTCTTTGGAGTGACTGTCCGTTGGAGCTCTTATGTACATGCATGAATGTCTTACAATTCAAGGAAGTGAACATAAAATCAACTAGAAAAGAGGGCCCAGTTCTTGCGCGACCACACCTGGGGCACTGCATTCAGCTGGGGAGTGCCCAGTACAAGAATGACATGGACCTGTTGGAGTGAGTCTAGAAGAGGGCCATAAGGATGATCAAGGGGCTGGAGCACCTCTCTGTGAAGACAGGCTGAGGTAGCTAGTGCTGTTCAGCCTGGAGAAGAGAAGGCTTCAGGAAGACCTTACAGTGGCCTTTCAGTACCTAAAGGGGGCCTTCAGGAACTCTTTGTCAGGGAGTGTAGGAATAGGACAAGGTGCCCCATCCCTGGAGGTGTTTAAGGACAGGCTGGATGGGGCTTTGAGCAACCTGCTCCACTGGGAGGTGTCCCTGCCCGTGGCAGCGGGGGCTGGACCTATATGGTCTTTAAGGTCTCTTCCAACCCAAACCATTCTGTGATTCTGCAGTGTCCAAAAGCTAATGTCTGACAGTATTAAATACTACTTTGCTTCATACTAAATACCACTGAAGCCACTAGACATGTCTCTGAAAATTTCCATGGCTAGCAGTGTTCAGAAAACATTTTTGTTGGAAGTCTGTGACATTTTAGCTGAAGGTACCATGAAGGACTTGGACATCTCCTGTCACTTCAGTGCAAGATCCCACTTCTCTCTCAGTCAAGCAAAGCTCTCTCAGTTGGCTGTGATTTTGGAAATTATTTCAGCAATTCATGCCATTATTTCATTTATTTATTTTTTTTATTGTTCTTGGGAATCTGGATGGAAGGTGTAGTAACACCTCATTTCCTTTAGCCCCAT